ACAAAAAAAAAAAAAGAAAAGAAAAGTAGCATTCACAAGGACATGGAGAAGTTAGATTATTCATAATTGCTGACATGGGTATAAGATTTTGTAGCAGCAAGGGCACACATTTGGCAATTCTCCCAAAAGTTAACACATTAACTATAAGGCCAATCAATTCTACATCTGGGAATATGTCAAACCAAAAACAAATACTGACCTAAGAATGTGTATGTTGATGTCAATAACAGCATTATTCATAGTAGTCCAGAATAGAAACTATCCAAATGTTCATCATTATATAATGAAATAATATTCAGACATAAAAAGAGAGGTTATATTGATCTTACATTATGAGTAAGCCTTGGAAACACTGTGTTAAGGAAAAGATAATCAGACACACAAAATACCATGTTTTGTATGATTTCCTTTGTATGATCTATCCCCAAGAGGCCAATCCATAGAGATATAAATTGATTAGTGGTTATTGGGGTGTAGGGAGAGGAGGAAATTGAGAGTGACTGCTAAGGGGCACAAGACTTTTTAAGTGTTGATAATGATTCAACATTATGAAAATACTAAATATGATGAAATTTAAAATGGCAAATTTTATGTTACTTAATTTTTTTATTTCAGTAAAAAGAAATTTAGAGTTAAATTAAAATAGCCAGTGCCAGTGGCTTATACCTGTAATCCAAACTACTCATGAGGCTGACATAGAAGCCAGCCGGGGCAGGAAAGTCTGTGAGGCTCTTACCTCCAATTAGCCAGCAAAAAGCCAGCAGTGGAGCTATTGCTTAAGTAGTAGAATGCTAGCCTTGAGCAAGTAAAGGCCAGCGACATGCCCAAGCCCTGAGATCAAGCCCAAAGACTTGTGCACCCACATACACAAACACACACAAAGTACTTCTACTGCTGGTTCTACTAATAATAATAATAATAATTCATGTGTCTCACTGGGCTAACATTGGAGTGTTAGCAGGACTGGTTTTTGTTTTTTACTTTTTTTTTTTCCTGAGGACTTCACCTCACTTCATCTTGTTGGTTCTGTTTTCACATTTCCTCCTGTTCACTGACTGTCCTGCTGGCATCTCAGGAAGTCTTCTGTGTTGACTTTGGGCTCATTTGGATAATCTAATTAGGTCTCCTTGTGTCGGGATCCTCCACTTCCATCATATCTACGGTGTGGGCATCTCAGGGAGGGTGCATTATTCAGTCTTACGTAATGGTTACTTACACATGGTTTTATATTCTTAAAATCTCAGCTGACTCCCTATGAAAACGTTTCTACCTATTTTCAGTGCAGAGAACACTGAAAATTTCAACCAAGTGTGTCTGTGTGCTGCCCTCAGGTGCAGTAATTGTAGCAGGAGGTAACCGTTAATTCTATAACGGAGCTCTTCAACTCCACTCTTGTGAGGTTAATATTAGACACTGGTTCTCAAATCTAGGATATTTTCCCATCCCAGAAGAGGTACTGCAAGGTACCAAGTTCTATCTCAATTCTGCAAAAACAAACCCAATGACAATTAATTGGTATGTCAGGGTGAGGGACAGCCTATAAGAATTTCAACTTTTAAATGGATAAAATGAAAATGGAAAATGCTGCCTAAGATTACAGCAGAATAATTAATTAAAAATTAAAATAAGTTTTATAAGTCCTTTTCTAAGGACTTGTAAAATTTCTCAAAAAAAACCCTCTGGTATATTAAATCCTCATCTATTTAACTTTAATTTTTAGCATGAGTCTACTCTATTATTCATTTTTCTATGATATTCAGTACTATAAAATTTTAAGCATTATTTCCTATATCAATTAGCTTATCCTTGGGGGTCACAAAGTAGATATATTGGAAATGCATATAGCTTTTTGAAATTAAGTTTTATTTCTGTTGCATGGATCTGGATGTTGTTTTTCTTTCAAGTGGATGTTTTTATGATTCATGTCTAAGGCACAACACAGGACAAGCTGGCACAGATAATAGCAGAGGGACTGGGAGAGTCTGACAAACGTGCCATCCTTATATAGTGGCAACTGAGTTGTCTTTGAGTCCACATTTGGAGCCAAGGAAGTAACAGGTAATCATTGCAGAGGGTAATCATTGCTTCTGAGGTGGGCGGAGCTCCACACCTCTCCTTGGAACCTCAGATCGTTTTTACCACTATGAGATTATAAACAATAGCTCTGTGACATGTCATGTGATAGAAAATGTTGTATAATGGGAAAAAACAAAGCAAGACAAGCTTGTCCTCTGGGCTGAAATGTGGTCTCAACAAATTCATAAGTCAAATTTTATCCTCAGTAGAATGTGACTGCTTTTGGAGACAGGACCTTTAAGGAGGTAATTAAGAATAAATAAAATCATAAATGTGGGGTCCTATTCAGTAGCACTTGTGTCCTCATAAGAAGAGACACTAGTGAAAAAGGCCTTTAGAAGACACAGTGAGAAGGTTCCTATCTGCAAGCCAAGGAGAGAGGCCTTAGTAGAAACACCCTGGTAACTCCCTAACCTTGGACTTCAAGGTTTCTGTTCTTTAAGCCTGTGTCTAGCTTGTGGTATTTTGCTCTGGAGCAGCCCTAACAACCCCATAAACTGCCTTTACTATATCATCTTGTATTTTGCTTTCCAGTCTTTCATCTGAATATATTTCTTCACATTTATGATTATAGTTACAAGCATAATGTTCCAGACATTTTTGTGTGTGATTGTCAAGCTAGACCTGGGAAAAGATAAGGATATTTGGTTCTGTGTGCTATGCCCGACTGTCCCTCAAGTACAGTATAACCCTCAAGTGCAACCTAACCATACCTACCCACTGTGCTGGCACATGAGTACCAGCATGGATGTGAAATGAAGCAATATGCATCCATTGAAGCTGATGTTTGTCTCTGTTACTCAACAATTACTCAGCAAAGGAATGATAATTGATTCTTGTTTTTTTTAGTTTTTTTTTCAATATGTGATTCAACCAAGTGCCTAGTCCAGTTCCTGGCAGTCACATTTATTAACTGACTGAAAAACTTACTCTCTTCCTGAATTTGAGTTTGTTCAGGGAACCAAATTGTAAACAGATGATGGCATAATAAGATAAAATTGGTACGGTTGACATTGTTGGATCAGAACTCTTATTTTCTAACTATTCCTCAATATTTCTTAAAATAATGACAACTCAGATACATCTGAAAATAATTTTAGTGCATCGTCTATTGTTTGGTTTCATTTAAACTTTTTAATAATTTTAATAAAGTGATTACCGTATTTATATTTAATAGTATCCTGTTCTATAATTTTGAAAAAGTGCTTGTATCATAAGTTACAGCTGTTTTGGGATGCTTTTGAGTGTTCCATTTTCCTTTTTTTTTTTGGTTGGTTGTGGAGCTTGAACTCTGGGCTTGGGTGCTGTCCCTGTGCTCTTCAGCTCAAGGCAAGTGCTCTACTGCTTGAGCCACAGCACCACTTCCGGTTTCCTAGTGGTTTGTTAGAGATAAGAGTCTCACGGATATTTCTGCCCGGGCTGGCTTTGAACCGAGATCTTCAGGTCTCAGCCTCCTGAGTAGCTAGGATTATAGGTGTGAAACACCGGCGCCCAGTTGAGTGTTCCATTTTCTAAGTTCATTGTTGTATTTTTTAATTTAACATTCTGTTTGGATTCACACTGTTCTTAATACTAAAGTTTCTGACTAGACCATATTGATTTTCTCTATTTTTCTCTCCCAGAATATTTTAGTCTTTGTCTATTGGTTTTTATGAAGTAATTAAAAACTTATACTACTCAAAAAACTTCTGTTGAATATTTCTATTAGGTATATGATTAAAATATCCAAATTATGGTTTTTTCACTAGGTTAAAATAAGGAAATATCTAACCTTGACTCCTTGCATGAGCAAGAGAGATGATGATACTCACTAGACACTATGTTGGAAATGAACTATACAACTTTGGGGGGAGATGAAAAACTGGGAGAAAATTAGGGAGGGGGTGAAAGATATTATTAAAAATGTACTCATTTCCTGACTTAAATAACTGTAACATCTGAACATCATCTTTACAATAAAAATTTGAAAAATAGCATGTGAGGAGCAAGCACTACAGTAAGCTAAGAAAAGGGTAAGTGAATAGAAAACACATATAAATTAGAACATATGGCTGCATTCCAAGTGAGCTAGGCAATTTAATCCTCTTAGAAACTTCTGTTATGCCGGATTTTGAATGAAAAAAAAGAATCAGAATAAATAATAAAGTGGATAATTCTTTAGTGCTAAGCTGTAATATGTCTTATCATCGTTTTTGTTTATATATCCTTAATCAATCTTAGGAAGAACACAACATTGCCTATAAAGACTTGAAATTCCAATTGCCTGAAATTAAAATTCCTATGCCTCTATTCATTGGACCTTGGTTTTTTCAAAATGAACCATAATGCCTAACTCATAGGGCTATTAGGATAGTAAGCTGATATTTATAAAGGACTTCAGTAGTATCTGACCAACATACCTTAGTTCTATTAAGGAGATTCTGTGCTATTAAGGTGATTTGGTTTGGTTGAGGTCAACTTACCTGTATTTCTTTTCTTTTCCAAATCAGGGAGTGTATGCTGTACTGTTTTGCATAGCCACAAGACTCAGGAAGGCCTCACTCTGTGCTGGCCTACACCATTATGGTGGAAATGCTTCTGAGCTTTTGTATCTGACTTATTTATTGTTGCTCTCTGGCAGCCATCCCCTGGCCTCCTGGCAAAAATAGCAGGATTTCATTAAAATTCAATCTCTCCTGATACTATCTCTGCTGGATATTAGAAGGGATTGCTACCAGTGGAGCTTTCGCAACCTGATTAGGAGTAGATTTAGGCTGGAATGTTCTAAGTGCTCTAAAATTACCATTTACAAAGTTTTTTCCTATGTCTCCCAGCTTTCTTGTGTCCTGGATCTCTGCGCCTATCTAGCCCATCTTACCTGTCCCAGGCTAGCCAAGAGTCCTGTGCTTACTAGACACTGAGATGCGTCTGTCTTCCTATTTCAGGTGCAAGTTGTCTCCCATCGCTTTGTGTCCCCACGCAGGGGCCCTCTGTATGAGTGAAACGTTGCTCTGCCATGGAACCTGGCTCTGCCCTGGCCTGGCTCCTGCTCCTGAGCCTGCTGGCTGATTGTCTGAAAGCTGCTCAGTCCCGAGACTTCACAGTGAAAGACATCATCTACCTCCATCCTTCAAGTAAGACTCACATTTGTTCTCTTCACTGAAGAAATGGCACTTGATTTCCAGTAAGAAGGAGATTGAAATGCATCCAGCAGGAAGGAGGTTTTGATGCGGGGGAAACATCTGGTAGTTCAGTTAGGGGGCACAGTAGTTACCCTACCTTTTCATAGGATATATGTGTTTTTTTCATTTTACATCAAATTATTTATCTTGTTTCCCCGCCCTTTTTTCTACCAAATCACTCTGATTCTAAATACCCTTTCATTTTACTGTACTATCCCCAGCCAGTAATCAAAGTGAACCTCCCAGCTGCTGTGTCCCAAGAGGTAGCTGGTTTTGTAGAAAGTCAGTCCTTTCTAGGTCTTCCCTTCTGTGCCTCTGGTTCTTAGATTAAGCATCATTACCTCCCACAGCTTCCTATTCTCCCTGCCCTTTTGCTTTCTTATGTTTAAGGGGGTGAACTGTAATGTAGACCTCTGTCTTATCCATGTCAACCCTTGTGTTTCTGATTTGCATATATCAGGGGCTGGGTTTGTGGATTCGACAAGAATTTCAGGTCTTCTAGATCTTACACTGGAAAGCAGTGTCACTTCTTCCTTTAGTCTCTGTTTGGTTTTTTGCTTTTGTGGGACTCCTCTTCTGTATTGGCCCATCTCACCTAACCCTAGCCCAGCCAAGAGCCCTGTGCTTTCTCTAGCCAGTGGTGACAAGAGCTAGGAATATTGTTTATGTTCTGGTCTTCAGCTTTGGTCTGAAGGTACATTCTTCTTTCTAAATATTCTGCTCATCAAGGTTGTTTGCTTGTGTGCTTGTAATGTACCAAGTATTGTGATAAGCTTGGAACAATTAAGACATCATCTTTACTTTGGAGAAATATATCTTTATTTCGGAGTCTACAATAGAGTGGCAACTAGTAAGACTCCTTTGGCTCCATAGAACTCTTTTTTTTTTTTCTCGGTCATGGGGCTTGAACTCTGGGCCTGGGCACGGTCCCTCACCTCTTCAGCTCGAGGCTAGTGCTCTACCACTTGAGTCACAACACCACTTCTGGTTTTCTAGTGGTTTATTGGAGATAAGAGTCTCACAGACTTTACTACCCAGGCTGGCTTTGAACTGTGATCCTCAGATCTCAGCCTCCTGAGTAGCTAGGATTATAGGCATGAGCCACCAGTGCCCGGCTTTCAACTATTTTTTATGTGTATAAAACTTGGTTTATCTGGGAGTTAGTGTGTGGCAGCATAGGAGCTTGGAGTCCACCAAACCTGGGGTCATCACCGAGCTGAGCTGCTCCCCAACCATGTGACTTGAGACAAATCCCCTTACTTTATGATGATTAAATAACATAGAAAACATTTAGAAATGAGTATGAACTGTAGTAAATGCTCAATTGATGTTAGAGAGTTTTAAGTGTTTATTTGCTTATTTCTAAAGCGGTAAAGTTACACATATTCTGTTGCATAATTTTATGTACCAGAAATAATATCCATAAAATCCCAGGCCTATGCCTTTGGGACAATCAAATGGTTGTTATTTATGTCGTTGTTATCATTAGCTTAGTCAGCAAATACAGGGTGCAAAAATACAGCACACTCATTTTTTATAGCTCCAAATTTGCTTTTGCTAGGCAGAAAATAATTTCTTTACATTTTGCCACGTATCCTTTTGCCAGTTATGGTCTGATGCCTATTGGTTAATTGCATCGAAATTCATCTGGCTGCTTTTTTGTAAGGCTTTTTTACTTTGTTTTAATTATATCCTTGAAAAGAATAGACTGCAATGCTCATTCTACTTTGTAGATTGCATTTTGTTCTTTTCTCAAATCATCCATGCCTTTTAAAATCAGATGTGGTGTGGCATAAACCTAGATTCAGTCTTTTAGTCTATTCGGTCTCTTAGTCTGGTGAATTGCTAGGCTTTCCAGCTTTTGTGAAGGTTTTTTTTTTTTTTATCATCTTCGGTACAGACTAAGTAGTACTCAGGCCATAAAACTGGAGCCTGGACTTGACCATCTCTGTCTGTCTCTTTTTCTCTTATTCTCTCTCTTTTGCTTGCTGGATCACTCTTATTCTTTGTCTCTGTTTCTCTCTCAGCTGTCACTTTACCATCTAAGCCCCACCTACACCTATGCTTCTGGCTTTTTGCTAGTTATTTAGAGATAAGAGTTTCTTGGATTTATCTGCCTAGACTAGCTCTGGACTGAGATTTTCAGATCTCAGTCTCCTGAATAGCTAGAATTATAGGCATGAACCCCTGCATCTGGCTTGAACCCTGTCCTCTTCTGATGCTGTGATTATATATGCTCAGAGTGGGAAGGAAATTCAAGGAGGATGAATGTGAGCAATAAAGAAATAAAGAAACACTTTCTTTCTCAACAGATAGTCAGCCAGTGCCTAGGGTGGGTAGGCTCCTGTCTGAAGAATGGGTTTCCTGAAGCATGAACTCTGCAAAGGCATAAAGGAAGAAGTTGATGAGAAAATAGGCTGATGCATGGCTCAGGTGGTAGAGTGATTGTCTAGCAAGCAGGAGGTCCTGAGTTCAAATCCCTCTACTATAAAAAAACAAGCTGATGTAAAAGTTCTGCTCATATGACCTAGGCTAATTAAATAGAGTCATGCTGGATTATATGAAAGCTCACCCATTATGAAGAAACTAGTTATATGATTTTGAAATATAGAGGATAGAAGTTATTCCTACACTAGCTAATTAGGGGATTTACAAACAGGTCTAGGCCTGAGTTCTCTTTAAGAGATCTTCAAAATGGATCATGTACAGTAAAAAGTAGAAATGAAATTGTGATGAATGGCTCCATATGACCAGAACTTAGTTCATACTGCCTACTGCAAGCCAAAGTTAACATTCTCCAAACTGTCTCAGATGTTTATGTATGGTTCTTTTTACTTTTTTTTTTTAACTGCATGGTCTTCTGCCCTTGAGCACCAGACCATATTTAGATGGACTGACTGATCGCTCTACGAATAAGCAAGTTTGAGTTGAACACAGGCCATGAAAAATACATGTTGGGAGCACAAGATTCATTTGTTTTAAATTATTTATACCATCACCTCACTTTGTAGGTGGAGGCACGACGGTTTTCTCTGGGTCAGTGAGCTAGAGTCCATTAATGTTACATGGAAAAGCTCAGAACCTTCCTGAGAGGAAATGGAGAGGTGTGGGAGGTATGAGAGCATACTCATGGAGGTGCAGGAGGTTCAGGAGTTGGAGATTACACTCTCATTTTTTACAGCCAACCACAGGCTCCTTTCTTATTTCTCTAACAGCCATCATTGATATTAACTAGGTTGAGTTGGAACCCAGACTGGGAAAAAAATCAGTGATGAATCTCTCTTGCTCTCTGATTCACTAATCTTAGATGTTCCTAAGTCTTCAAAATATGAAGTGCTATCCACAATGACATTCTGTTCTAGATTTTGCCTGTGTTTTTCTTTTTCTCTTAACTTTTTTTTCTTTTTCTTTGTCTTTTTTTTTTGTCAGTCCTGAGTCTTGAACCCAGATGGCTGGGCACCATCTCTGAGCTTTTTACTCAAGGGTAGTTTTCTACCATTTGATCCCACAGCTTTACTACCAGCTGTAGGGTGGTTAATTAGGGGTAAGAGTCTTACAGACTTTCCTACCCAGACTGTCTTCAAGCCATGATCCTCAGATCTCAGCCTTCTGAGTAGCTAGGATTATAGACATGAGCCACCAGTACCTGGCTCTTCTTTCTTATCATGTGAAAATGATTATTTTCTTCTTGGTCTATAATTAAGACACCAAAGTCTAATAAAACTCATCCAAACTTGGAATTAATATTAAGACAATTAATATTAAGGAGAATTTATCTAGATAGACAGATACCAGAAAATATGCTTCTATATGAAACACATACTCATTCATACTGACAATATTTTGTTGCCAAGTGGACTGAAAGATAAATTTATCATATTCCTTGAGTATTTATGTCTGTGACCAGTTTCTAAAAACAATGGAAATTAATTTGGCAATATTTCTAAAAGCTACTATGTGTTACAACATTAGCATACATTTCTGAAAGTATGTTTTCACCACATTTTCTGTAACTGAAGACCTTTGTCCACGTAAAAGTTCCAAGAGAGGAGAACAAAGAGTATGTCTTTTCTGATGTCTTACAAATGAATTATGGTAGGTTAAACTATGGCTGAGCATGAGAGTTAATGGGTAGATTATTTTACAGGAAGTAACTGGGCACTTTGGCATTCCTTTTTTTTTTCTTTACAACCACCTTCTCTTGAGGGACCAAGGACTTATGCCCTGAAATGCAGAGTACTGAGATGATTAAATCTGTGATTAAGAGCCAAATTAGATTCATTCACAGCTAGGACTACAACAATATGAAACTCTCCTTGCTCTGTAATGCTTTGAAGTAACAACAAAATGGCATATCTCTTAGAAACTGCTTTCTGCCCTTTAAAAGGAAAAAAAACACTAAGCCATCTTTATCAGATTCAGTATCAATTAGCAGGTTACTGGAGATACTTGTTCATCTGTTGACCTTCTTTAGAGCTAAATATCTCAGAGGGAAGAATTTAACCATTTACTTGACATTGTACTATAATTAGCCTCTTAAAGCTATGGGGGTTAGAGATATGTCACCAACCAGCTATTATTCATTAGTCAGTGCTACCTGGCAAGATGGCAATGAAAGTTCTCCCCCTCCCTTTTAAATTTATTTATTGTACAAGTCATGAACAGAGGGGTTACAGTTACATAAGTAAGGTGATAAGTACATTTCTTTTTAAACACTGTTACCCCAAGCACATTTTAAAGTACAGTTATTGAAAATGTATACAGCTATGGAACTGTAGATTTTAAATTAAAACTAATAAAAATTGAGATAATTCAGTTAATTGCCAGTATATGCTGACAAACTCATTGAGAGTTTGTCAGATCAAAAAGTATTTGAAGTAAAGCATAATGACAAACACATTCAGAGAGAGATGATATGAAGCAAAGCATCGTTTTGCTGCCATAGTATTTTG